TGCAAGCATTGGTTTATGGCACAAGAGGCTTGGTCACATCAGTGAGAAAAGACTACACCTTCTTACTAGAAAATAATTCCTACCTAGTTTGTAAGGTATGCCTCTTAAAACTTATGTTGATTGTTCAGCTGGAAAAACACATAAAGTTGCATTTCATTCACACCCTCCATCTAGAAGATCAAATATTATTGATTTAATTCATACTGATGTATGTTCTATGCAAGCTAAAACTCTTAGAGGTGGACTTTACTTTGTGACTTTCATTATTAACCATTCAAGAAAGGTTTGGGCTACTTCTTTGAGAGCTAAAGACCAAGTGCTTGATGTCTTTAAAGAATTTCATGTCAAGACTAAAAGAGAAACAATAAAATAACTAAAGAGAAACAAGATAAATGATGCAAGCATTGATTTATGGCACAAGAGGCTTAATCACATCAGTGAGAAAGGACTACAACTTCTTACTAGAGAACAATTCCTACCTAGTTTGTAAGGTATGCCTCTTAAAACTAGTGTTGATTGTTCAGCTGGAAAAACACATAAAGTTGCGTTTCATTCACACCTTCAATCTAGAAGATCAAATATTCTTGATTTAATTCATATTTATGTATGTTTTATGCAAGCTAAAACTCTTAGAGGTGTACTATACTTTGTGACTTTCATTGATGACCATTCAAGAAAGGTTTGGGCTACTTCTTTGAGAGCTAAAGACCAAGTGTTTGATGTCTTTAAAGAATTTCATGCCAAGACTGAAAGAGAAGCAAGAAAATAACTAAAGTCAGTTCGAGCTAATAATGGTGGTGAGTACATGGGACCGTTTGAGAACTACTGCAAACTCCATGGAATCAGGCTTGAGAAAACTCCAGCTAAGACACCTCAGTTGGATGGTGTGGCAAAGAGAATGAACAGAACAATTGAAGAAAGAATCATGTGTACACTTTCTCACGCAAATCTTCCTAAGTCCTTTTGGGTGGAGGCTATGAGAACCGCAGTTGATTTGATAAATCTTTCTCTATCAGTTTCCTAGTGTTTAAATTATTTATGTTGTTTTTATTTCATTTGTTTCGTTATTATTCTCTTTTATTCGATCGTTCAAATAATTTTAGAATTAACTAATTTTGGTACTTAATAAAAATTAACGCAATCCTCAAGGAAACCATACTTTATTTACCACTTTATTATTTGTTAGCGATATTGTACACTCACGTTTTCCACAATAGTCCGAATGAATTTCCATGCTCTTCCGTGGATCACTTGGCACACACCCCCACGGCCTAGGCTTCATTTGACCAAAGTCCCTCACCTGTTATCCATCCTCGTGCGAACGCTGCCAACTCTTGGCGCGCTTGTGCCTGATGCCACACGACACTGCCGCTAGACCACCTGCCTATGGCGACAGTCAAGTTCCTTTGTTTTTGCATGCCAAGCCAACCACCTATGCCATACACTGCACCATGATCGACGGCCTCGCTATGCCTTTGAACAAATGTGTCTAACACTAAAGCCTACATATATATAGTAATATCCATTGAAAGTGCATAAATTATGATTTTTACTCTTTACTCTTAATTCATAACTTTTTTAGTCAAATAATTACACTAATAAAAGAGTATTTATCAAGATTAAGAGATAAAAATGTAAACTCATATACTCTTAAGAGTAAATTCTTCATTTTTTCATATATATAATGCCACAAAAATTATAAAAAAAAAAATTACGCAGTAAATCACCAACCCACGAAATTAAGCATTTTGGTCCAAGTCCAGATGCAGTGCCCCAATTAATCCTTGAGGTCCAAGTTTAGTTCCCACACTTAATTCATGTGGTCTCAGTCAAACTCTAATAATTTTGTCCAGATAAAATAAATATAAAATGATGGAATTGGAGATCACTCATTCACTTGGAGCCTGAGCTGCAATTCACTTTCCAAATTATTTCCTTATAAGGCAAGAAAGGTTTTATTGAAGAATGATTGAATGACCGTAGCATGTCGTTTGATTTCGTTTTGTCTCCAGGATTAGGGGCAACAGCTCCAAAGATTGATGGATCAAGCCCAATGTAAACATTCATTGTTCATAAGGGCCAGTCTTATTAGCAGGCACTGGATTTATTTATGTGGAGAAATTATAGATTCTACTTTTTTAACTATTTGAATTATTAAATGTAGAGAGAAAAAGAAAAATAGGTCAAGATTTGAGATGAATTAAAATTAATAGGTCAAAAGTTTACATAAGTTAATAAATAGGCTAAATTATTTTTTTTGTCCATAACTTGTCTGGTTATGAATCATAACTTGACAAGTTATTGTCCATAAATCATGGTTTTCGTTCATAATTTGTCTGGCTATGAACCATAACTTGACAAGTTTGTCCATAACTTATCTGGTTATGAACCATAACTTAACAAGTTATGACCTATTAATTTCTATAACTAAAAGTTGACCTATATACTTCCTTAAGCTTTTCATATTGGCCTATTTTCTACTATTTCCGTTAAATGTATTATTTTTAAAAAATTATATGTTTAATTCGTTTTAGTCTAAAAAGTATAAATATATAGATTAATGTTAAGGGTAGAAATAGAAGAGAACTCTATTTTAAGGAGTATTTTTGAAAATTACCTTATTTATTAATATAACCTAGAATAGATTCACTTTTCATTGCACTTCCAAATTAATTACTACGAAAATAGTTTATGGATTAATGCGTTCATTGATCTTTATTGTCCAGAAAGCGTTTAAATTCTTGAACTTTAATTTTAATAGAAATGGTCCACAAATTTTTTACATATCATTCCATTAGTCCCAATATTTTGTTCTGGGCCTCACCGTGTCAGTCATTCGAGTTGTGAAAAGGAAGGGGTGTGCCTTAATAATTAAATGAGAAAAACAAAAAAAAAACAAAAAAAACAAGATAAGATGTTTATATCCACGGATTTAAAAAGTGAGAATGTTCACTAATGAGGAGCACTCTGAAGGCTTCATATAAATAGACATTTACAAGCACATAATTAGGTAATTTACCAAATAAAAAAAAGAAAGATTTTTTATGGGAAAATAAAGAGATTTTTTTATACAGAAAATAAAAATATTTTGCAATATGAAAATAAATATAAATCAAGTTAAAATTATAATAAAAGTAACTTTCTCTAATATGTCTCTGCAAAATGGAGTTATTTTAGACGATTCAATCTTGGAAGGTTGTTTTTTTTTTTTTCCTGAGAAAAAAAAAAAGAAATGAAAATAGTTGCAAGGGGATGACCATCCCCATCGTTGTGAGCGCATGGATATACAATGGTCAGGAAGAGAAAGACACATGGACCGTAATCATCAAGGAGAGGAGCGAAGAGTGTGACCTGCTCTTTGGTGATCATTAATGAACACATAATAATAATTACATAAGAAAATAAAATAAAGAAAATGAGACAAAAATTTTAATGTGGTTCAGTAAAATGCCTATATTTACGAATCAAAAAAATGAGAATATTCATTTATGAGGAGCAAGTTCCATTTTATAAATATAATATGACATTTACAAACTACCTAAAACTAAAATAAATAGATTTTCTAATATAAAAACAACTATAAATAAAAGTAACTTTCTCAAATTGCCTCAACACCTGTGAGTTTTAACGCTAATCCTTGTCTAACATTTTAACTTAGCTGAGTCAAGATGTTTAAAATTTTTCTTAATAGAGACTATTTTCTTCTAAAAGAGAGTTTTCTCCGATGCAACTCCCATTTTTGAGTCTTTCATCTTTTATTGATGAAAGATTCTTTTTTCCCGAGGAAAAAAATGTTTAAACATCTTGAAAAAATAAAAAATATTTAGAGTCTGTTTAATTCGTTGATTTGAATTTCTAATTCGAGTTGAGTTTATGAGAACTTTTTACTGTAACAAAACTTAAATTTTAAACTTAAATTAGTGAAATGTTACATTTTAAACTCAAATTAGTGAAATGAACAGCATCTGAAGACACCACCACTAATAAATAAAAGTTAGACTCTATCCATAAACCTCATATTATAAGATCCGCCTTATATTATTAAATATGCAAGATCCGCCTTATATTATTAAATGGTGCTCACTGTTTGAACTTTATAGCATTGTTCTAAAAATATATATATATATTTTAAGCTTTAGCTCCTTTTTATTTATTTATTTTTTAAAGTTTTAAGGACAGTGAAGCAGCATTAAATATATATATATATATATATATATATATATATATATATATATATATATATATATATATATATATATATATATATATATATATATATATATATATATATATATATATATATTTTAAGCTTGAGCTCCTTTTTATTTATTTATTTATTAAAGTTTTAAGGACAGTGAAGCAGCATTGTAATTTGAAACTAAGGTGTTGTTATCCGTAAGGTGCAATGCAACTTGCAAGTGGAAGGCACGAGTAACGCACGATGAAGATCTCAATTTCCAATAAGAGATCTCTTTTATTATCACTATTGGTATTGGTATTATTATAAATATTTTCTTTTGGTGGAAACTGGAAACAATTAGTGCTCTCTGCTTGTTGACGTTCAAGTACTCCATGACTTTGATAGCTACACTTACACACATCGCCTGCTCATAATTGACAGAGAGAGGCCCTCCACTTTTAGTGCCATTACTAAAGTGGCCCTATCATTATAAATTTCTGTGAAAAAAAAAAAAATGACTTGGGAAGTAAGCCATGGGACCTTGTCAGTTCTTCATGTGATCAGTTATCACCATTAAGTATTAACGACTGCACAGCTTATGAGAAGTGAAATTATAAAAGCAACAAACAATAATGCTTCTCCTAAAAAAAAAAAATATGCAAGTGTGGATGAATTTCTCGAAAGCTTTCACTAAAGCAAAACAATTTTCAAAATCTAATATTCATTCCTTTCAGGGGGTCAGAGATCTTCAACACTAGCTAGACATCTAAAATCACAACCTCAAACTAACAAAAGTCATATATAAATTAAAAATAAAAATAAAAAAAAAATTATTCACCTAAGCCACCTTCTAAGGTCAGTAGTTGAAGAAGGCGAAATCTCACAACCACCAAGGCTGTCAGTGCAACAAGAGGAATAGTTAGACTGTTGCTCAAGCCCACCAAAATGTGAGCCATTCACACTCTTGAAGCTTGGGCTCCTCAAGCTATGCCCATAACAATAATGAGGCTCAGGTGGCGCCGGGAAGGAAAGCCGCTTCTTCGCCGCCGACCCGACTCCTCTGTCTCTCTCCGGCGTCGACGGCCGCTGCCGCGGCGCGCTCTGAGACCGCGACCGGGCCTTGGCCGACTCCGTGGCAGCCATGTAATTCGGCAATGTGGAGCCACTGCATGTTGTGCTTGTCCCAATTCTGCCATGTTGATGATGTGTAAAATTGCCAGTGTAATAATAGTTGGATCTTAAGCTTGGTGTTTGGGAGATTTGTTGTGAGATTGATCTGTCTTCTCTTCCGCAGCGCGGGCTCGCCGACCGGACCTGAATAGGCCGGGTTTTGGAGGGAGAGGGTGTCACCGGTGAATGGTGGTTGTGGTGGTGGTTTTGTTGGGATCTATGGAGAGGTGAACTTGGTCTTTGTTGGTGTTGGTGTTGGTGGTAATTGGGATTTGATCTTCTCAAATTGGGTGCTAAATATGAGTAAGGTTGTGAAGTATCCATTTCAACTGTTTTAATGGATTCTCTCTGGTCAGTTGAGGCTCTTCCTCTGCTCTCCCATGGCTTTGCAGCCATCCAACGGTCGAGCCACTTCGGTCTCTCTTCAAGCTCCTCTTCATTTCCCATTGAAGGACTCCTTCCTGCTCTCCATATCTAACATATTTTAGCTAGTTAGTACATGAAATGACTGGTAAAGAAACAAAAACAGAGGAAAACAGAGTAAAACTGAGGATTTGAGTGTAATAGTATTAGTAGAAGAAACCTGTTGAGAAAAGGCTTGAGACAATTTCTTCTCACGCTTCATGGCAACCTCTTTTCTGTGTTGCAACATGGCTTTTACTTCCTCAACTGTGTGAGGGCGTTCGTCCCAATCATCCGCGATACTACTTCCCTCTCTTGACTGTGTGAGATACATATACAACAAAACCAAGAATTTTAATTATAAAAAACTAGACCCTTTTTTTTTGTCTCCAATTAAAAAAAAAAAAAAAACTGACCATGGATTTTCTATCTGAGATGTCTTGAAGGTACCGGGAATCCCAAACACTATTGGTGTCACTAAAAGTAGACTTTCTGCTTCCATCATGCGAGAGCCTCATGCGCTGATCCAGAACCCGAGCCTGAACCCGAACCAAAGCTTGCATGCATCTGAGCGTCATCTTTGCTTGCTTTCTCACATTGTGACCCCTAACTAACGCCTGCAACTTCACTAGCCCTTTAAGCGCACGAAGAGCCCTCCTTGCCTTTTCCAAGAATCCCAAATCAATAATTCATTCAAAAATCAAAACACACTTGCTTAACAAAAGAAAATATATATATATATATATTATTTCTTTAGATATCATGTTATTGACTCACCAAGTAGCCTCTAAAAGCCGTTTGAATAACAATGGCTGCAGAGCGTTCACTGGCGTGATTCGAAGGCCTTGTTAGGCGGGCCACCTCCGCAGCCGCCTGCGCCGTGGCCATCGCAGCCTCGGCAGTGGCCACGGCCACGGCAAGTGCATGCTTTTGATCTTCCCCATTTTGTCTTTGTTGATCTGGGGTTTGACTTTGTTGTACTGACTGTGAAACTATTGTTTCTTGTAGATTTGTGGGCTTCCTGAAAATCCACCTCCGTTTCTCTCTTTTCTGAACAAAATAAGCAAGAGAAACAAAATAGAAAACAATGCAACCACAATTTATTGATCTTGCCAAAAGAGACAAAAAAAAAAAAAAAAAAAAAGAGGGAGAGAGAAGGATTGAGAAAAGATGATTAGAGAAGAAGAAAAAGAGACCTTTTCTAAGTCGTCCTCTTTAGTAGGAGATCTGAAAGCCCTTTTTACAGCAGTCAGCCATGAGGAGCCTCCCTTCTTCCCCATATGATCAGAAAATGAGGTACATAAAACCAAGCTGCATTGAAAGATCACAAAGAGAAAAGAGCTAGAAAACTGTGTATGAGAATCCGGTTTAGAGATTATGATGGCGATGATGGGGCGGTAAGAGAGTTTGTAGGGTAGTGATCAGCCCTTGGACTCAGTGAAAGAGAGAGATATAATAAATGCAAGTGTGACAGATATAGAGAGAGAGAGGGAGAGAGAGAGGAGAGACGTATAACTGTGGAGCTGGCGGCAAGCTAAGATTCAATCAAATGCATCCATCAATATTCCCTCTTTAAGGGGATAAATTTGAGGGCTAAAGTTAGGTGTTAGCATAGCATTTGTGTGACATGGGAAATCGTAAATGATGGTGTCAGAAAGTACGTCAAATAACTCTTGTTTATTATGCATTACCATTGAAAATTTTCAGGATTGAATATAAACTTTGCCCATTGAAAATTCAGTCTCATATCTGCCATTATGATTCAAAATTACTAGGAAAAAAAAAAAAAAAAAACCTTCCGTCTAAATTTATGATAACTTGTAATTTTGATACATGGTAATTTTTGAACTATTTTAGGTATGTATGTGTGTGTTGTCGGACATACAAACCTAATTAACATTTTAAAATTTGGCATCTCAATTAAAAAAAAAATCAAAGTTGTAACTTATCGTAAGTTCAAAAGGGAATTTTTTGTCATTTTAAACAATACGGGCTGAAATAAGATAATCCCCAGGGTTGAAATTAACCCAAAATTTTGAGGGAAGAAACTAGAAACTAGAAAGTCGTGGTGTGAGAGGGCAAGAGACAGAGTGTGTGGTGGGGTTTGAGTGATATCAAGGTGTTTGACAGCAACGAGAGAGAGAGAGAGAGCACGTTGAGGAGCTAAAACCTAAAAGTGCTTTAATAGAGAAGCAAAAGCTGTTTCCTCCATATTCTTTTCTTTTTTTTTTTTGGTTATGGATATATAAAAAGGACCTTTTTTTTTCTTTCCAATTAAAAGAAAAAAAAAAAAAACAGAGCTTGGCATGCACCTCTCATGCTATCACGTGGTCGTAGCAGCAGAAAAGGGATATTATCATGTGGTTGATGGACCACCGTGGTCCTACTAGATGTCAAATTCAAGTGCCTTTTAATCACTGCATCCTTAGCGTCCGTTGTGCAGACCTCAGGAGTCAATGTGTATTCTATGCGCAGATTTTATATGAACTCTGCTGTGGTAAACTGTAGGGACTGTTAAGGTGGGCTTCCCTCACTGAATTTTGTTTTGACTTCATTGTAGCATTACAACAAACATGTTGCAATCACTCTGAGGAGGAAGACCCAGTCAAACACTGTGATAAAAAAAAAAAAAGAAAAAAACTGCGGACTGGATTCTAATGGTTCTTATTTTATTCTTATACATATATATATATATATATGTATATATCAGTATGCAATGAAAAAACAAACGGTCTAAGACTGTTTTCCGTCCATATTTGTATCAAAAATTATATATTTTATTTATTTAAAAAAAAAAATTGATGTGATTTTAACCATTAGAAATTAATCTTACTGTAATATGGTTAATTAAAGGACCTTATCAGAGAAATACTATAATTCTGTTCATTTTACCGATTCGAGTTTTGTTACCGTAAAAAGTTATCAGAAACAGTCACATTTAATTTTTTTACTACAGTAAAAAATTCTCACATAAAATCACATCTCAACTCAAATTAAAAACTCGAATCAACGAACTAAACAGACTTATATTTATAACCATTGTGATCTCATTTCAAAAAGTTCAAGAAGATCAATCCTGAAGAGAACCTCTTCGCAGTGTCCTGTTCTTTTAACCAAAAAAGGGGGTCAGACTAAGAAATCCATTGGAGATAAAAGTCAGGATATGGTGCAGAATAGTTTCATATGCCTGTCTGACATGAAGCTTGTCCTCTCAACTCTCAAAGAAATATGTACATTTCCATGTAGTCAGTTAACGCATAACAAACGCATATGGTTCTATGTTATGTTGCATTCTATTTCTTTTTTAATGTAATCCCTTACCTAACAGTCAATGCTCAAGATTCCAATGTATGCCATTCAGCGCTTTTCCCCACCCCCACTCTCCTTGAAAGAGAGATCCAAAAGTTGCCAAATGCCTTTTTTTTTTTTTTTTTGAAAATTTTTAAAAATATTCCGAACTTTTTTTATTTCTACCCATTAAATTAGCTCATATTTTATTAATAATTAAGATATATCTCTTTTTTAAAAGCTTTAATAGTAAGCCACGTCAGCAAATCTGTTAATATTATACACAAATGTAGACGGAATGTCTTATTTAATCTGTTTTCTATATATTATGGAGTGTTTTGAAAAATTAAGAGTCATTTTGAAATAAAGTACATAGTTCGAAAGGCATTTATGAAAATAATTTATAAATTATTTTTTATCTCAAAATTTTTTAAAAATTTATATTTTGACTCTATAACTTTTAAAATTTATATTTTAACCCATATATAATATGTTATGACACTAAACACCGTATTATATTATTATAATATAATATAATACCATATAACACAATACATTTTATACAATACAATACAAGCTACCAACAATAGCCTAAATGAATTGGGATGATGATGTGTCATTTACATATTATGCTTTATCTTCTGCAGCCAGAGAATCTTCTTCTAGACTCATATGGTGAGCTCAAAGTTTCAGACTTTGGATAGTGCGATTTCACAGCAAGCCAAGGTGAGTGTAGCATAATTATTCAGATTCATGACTAGTAATTATTTTCAGATAAATTTCTAATAGTTATTTTATTCACTAATCCCAAACTATCTAATTAAGAGGCTCAACCGTTAACTCTGCTTGTGTCAGTGCCATAAACTTTGATATGTTTTACACATCTGTTATGGATATTGTATTGCTTCTTCAGAAGAGGATTGAAGGTATAAGACATTACACATAGAGACACCTTCTTAGAATTTTTTGTATTTGCAGGAAGATGCGCTGCTTCATACTGCTATTGGGACCTCAAATTATGTTGCTCCCGAGGTATCTAGGACAGGTTGATCAAAGGTGGTGGTTTTCTTTTGTTGGTGTACAAAATGTATGCATTTCTCAGGTGTAGTAGTTTTGTGTCAGGTGCTTACCAGCAAAGGTTATGATGGCACATCATCTGACGTTTGGTCCTGCAGATTTATGATGGCTCAAGAAGGCTACCAGCCCCCAGGATTTGAAAAGGAAGAGGATGTAAATCTTGATGATGTAGATGTCGTTTTCAATGACTCAAAGGTGATAACTTTTAGTCACATTCCTCTTCATTCCTCTTGATCAAGAATTTGTGTTAATTCCCTGTAGAATTATGTCACATAAGACGCTGTATGGTTACATATAAATTTCTTCCTTAGTTATTTATTGATTTGCTAATTTTGCAGGATCGGTTGAGCTCATTTCCAAGTCACAGAGTTTCAATCTGGAGAATCTGTTTGAGAAGCAGGGGCTATCCATCATAAGACTTCACTGGTTTTTCAGCTATCCATGTTCCAACATGGCATTCTTGCACTCAAAGTAGATATTTTGGTCTGATGTCCAGTCACATGGAAAATATAGAACTTTGGCATTGGCATTCTCATAATGGCCACGAAGCTCTTTACGTTTAAATCACAGCCCAAAAAGGCACAAAGATTCCAATAATTAGATAGAATGAATTCCTATTCTAGTTATGGTGCTTGTATTTTTGGAAAAAAAAAATGAAGAAACTGGTTAATGATTAACTTCTTCTGTGGGACGGAGATGCAACTTTCAATTCTAGTTGCGGTGCTTAAATTATGGGCTAATGATTTTTGTCCTCTGTCAATCTTGAATTTCCCACCATAGGAATAAGAGAGAAACCCGCTTTACTTTTCAGTGCCCTGCTAACGAAAAAATGGACAAAATTGAAGAAGCTGCAAAGCCTTTGGGATTTAACGTTCGCCAACAAAACTACAAGGTAATCTTTTCTTTTTCCCCCTTCCTTTGTTTAAATTGTTTAGTTTCCATGACTAGTCTTACAAGAAAGATAATTAATCTTGTTCAACATTTTTTTTTAATCATACACTCGAGTTTCACAAGGTATGTCGTTACTATTTTGTTTTGAATTTGGTAGAAACTAGCAGAAGAAATAAATTATAGTTCACTGCGTTGAACTAAATCACTACTTGGGTAATAAACTGTTAGGTATTTTTATTAGTTGGCAATTTATTGATAATCTTGTAAAAATTCAATAAATAGGTTTAAGAAGATTTCGTATTGTAGAAGAAGATTCATAATCAGATTTGGAGAGATAAGGATAAGGCATTGGTCAAAGTAAGATAATGTATTGGTTATTTAAATTTAAATGAGTTTCTAGAAAGAGATAAGAAGATATGATTTTGATATTTACAGCTTATCCAACTTGTGGGATTTGAAGTTGGTATTAATTCGGATTTGTTGAATTTGATGTACAATCCAAATTTGAAATTAAAAAGTACTATTGGAGATCATATGGAAGATGGAGTCAATGGAGCTACGTGTCTTGCAAATGAATGTGCAATATGTTTGATATTTGAAGTTGAAAAGCAAGAGCTATATATATACACATATATATGGTAATATATACATGACAATGTTGTGGTTTAAAAGTGGAATAATTGGTTTGGTTATTTGAGATTTGAATGTATGATTTGGATAAGAGGAAGTTCTCCGTGTTTAATGAAGAACACGTGGAGATCAAGTGTTAACTTGTAATGAGGATAACTAATTCGGATTTAAAAGTTTGCTGCATAAATCAAATTGAAGATTGTGAAGATAATGTGAAGATATTTTGGAGCCTATCTAGGAGAGAGAATCATGAAGATAATAGAGAACTTATCAAGAGTGGATTTAAATGAGATTCTCTTGACTTAATTTAAAAGCTTTGTTTCAAAGCATATGTAGTACGGATTTAATAGAATATCTCCAGAGGAAAAGTCTATGAATTTGAGAGCTTACTACTGAGAAAATATTCAGAGAGATGTCTGTGAGTTTTTATGAGTTATTAAGATCGTCCTTCAGGAGAAGGATTTGTTGCTTTCGGGAGGAAGCTTTACTGGTCGAAGGGAGTTCATTAGGTGAATAGAAGACGTGTGGTACACGCTAAACAGAGTCATTGTACGATGTCATCACAACGGCATCATAGTCTAGGAGAGAGTCCTTGAGTGAATACGTCAGTGTTGTAATTCTTAAAGTACAGTGAAACTGTTTACTGACTGGGCGTGACCCCGCAGGGTAGGTGTGCGCACTAAATTGCGATAACATATCGTGTGCATTTATTTTACTTTCTGCATTACTGTCTTTTCTTAGTAATTAATCTGAATAATAAAAAAGCTGGTAGTGTACTAGATAATATTTTAACATCATCTAAAACATCAGACGTAACATCAGATCTAACATAAACTAATAAAAAATAAATGAAAAGAAGCCACAAATGCAAAATGCCTCTTAACTCTCTCCTCTGTTTTCTAAACGAAACCACATGAAACATTTAAGTTGGTCACTTGGAAACTTCTTCTTCTTTAAATTTTTAAACGAACTGAACCCACTATTATTGCTAATTTTACCCCCAGAAAGAGAAAAGAAAAAAAGTATTGCAATTCGTAAGGGCATCCGATTTTTGATTGAGGTCTTCTTCTAGACTCATACGGTGTGCTCAAAGTTTCAGATTTTGGATTGAGTGCAATTTATGAGTTTAGCATAATTATTCAGATTCATGAAAAGTAAGCATTTTCAAAAATTTCTTCTACTGCTGATAACTTGATATGAGAGGTTGGTTGACACACTAATGCTTGTTAAAATCAGATTTGCAAGGCTGAATTCACATGTCCACCTTGGTTTTCATTTGGTGCAAGGAAACTGATAAAGCACAACCCTCTTATCGTGAGTTCCAAAAACCCCTATGCTATTTTGAACTTTTTTTACAGAAATGGTAGTAAAGAGCAGATTTATGAAACTAAGAAATTGTAGTAAAGAGTAAATTTATAGAACTAAATTAAGTAAATAGTATATTTTAAAATTATTTAAAGTAAATAGTAATTTATCGCGTAAATGGTTAATTTATGACCGGTAAGAAATAATTTACGTGGTAAAAAAACTTTTATTTATGTAAAAAAAAGTATTTTTATCAGTTAAAAAAAAAATTTACATGAAAAAAAAATCTTTTTATTAGTTGAATAAAAAGTATGTGAGGACCATTTTAGAACTGATTTAGATATATTTTTCCAAGTAGTAATTATCATCGGAATTGTCGATGTTTGTTTTGAATATAGAGCCTAAACGATTCTTAAATCAAATAAGATGATCTTTGCCTCAGATTCTATGTAGTGTGTGCGTTTCCTTGGCTAAAAAGTATCATAGCTTTTTTCTTGTTTTTAGGCTCTAAAGGGAGCGTATTTATGTTGCTACATTTGTTTCTTTAGCTTTATTTTTTTTTTTTGTTTTCTTTTTTCAGGAAAAGATAGGTTTTGAAGACAGGGATTCATTTGAGGGCCTATTCAAAGAGTACTGGGAAATAGTTCAGGAGGAAGAAGGCTTGACCATGGATGACGACAATGCCGCAAATACCCAATTAAAAAAGAAGAAGAAGAAAAATAAAAACGGCAAATGCCTTTCAGTTAAAATTGGAAAGGGACAGCAAGAAGAAGAGTTCATCACGGTTGACTCTGATAAAGAAGAAACAGAACCATGCAAGCCAGTACAATTACCCCATCATGAAGTGGATTCTGTCATCAAACGCTACATTCGAGAGAAAAAAACCTTGTTGACCAAGAGAGGAAATGCGAGGTTAATTGTGACGAGAAGCTATATTCTCTTTTCAGAAAGAGGTCACAAACAAAGAGCAGAATATTTCATCTTTTGGAGGCCCATTTAGTTGAGAGCAAGGAGGAATCACAGGAAGATGTTGACGATGGTGACGGTGATCAAGTACGTTGTCCAAAGAAAGATGAAAATGATGATGCGGCCTGTAAGAAGCGGAGAACTTTGAGCTCAGATATGGAAAATCAGGTAAACGAAGTCGAAACTATTATCAAGCGGAGCTCTTTTGCCTCTATAGTCGCTGAAAATATCAAACTCGTCTATCTAAGGAGGAGCTTGGTGGAGTTATGTAAGCAGCCTGAAAGTTTTGAAGGCAAAGTAGTTGGAAGTTTCCTTAGAGTCAAAACAGATTCCAAAGATTTTCTACAAAAGAATTCTCACCAGCTTTTGCCATAACTGGTTATTTCTTGTGTTAAAACGTAAAATTATTATTGGCCTACTTCCTAATAGTTTAAGTTTTTAAGATAAATTGATAAACTAACATAGTATTAGAACAGGAGATCTTGAATTTAAACTCCAGTAATTGTACTTTTTATCCTCATTTAAATTGTCATCATGTATTAAGTCTTTAATAGATCTCAGGATTGTTGGACACACGTGACCTCCTAACAGTCTAAGCTTTTAGAATAGAATGATAAACTAACAGCAAGCAATCTGATCTGAGAATTTGTTTATAATTGCTGGATCAGCTTGATCTGCAATGTCTACTCCAAGTAGTAGTGTACATGTTTTTCTCATCGCTAGTTATATGTGGGTCGGTCGGTCCAAATCGAGAGCAATGAATCAGCAGTCACAGTGATTGGTGACGAATCTAGAATGAAATCTTCAAATCTGTACCTTTAAAAAAAAAAAAAAAAGAGTTTTTATTCACGATACCAATAAGAAATCTAGAGCAGAGGTGAGGGAAGAAAGTACCAACGATGAAGACACATAAAGATGGATGACGGCGAGGCAACAAATTATGAGCGATAAATCAGCAGTGACAGTGAACGGTGATGAATCTGTAAGAAATCGTCAATCTGATCGGGAGGGAGCAGAAAAAACGAAGAAAGAAACAACAATTGTTGTTTCCTTTTTGTCCCCAACCCCACAAGAGACGAGTAGACTGTAGATGTCATTTAACTAGCATAATCTTTCATGTGTGATCAAATAACAGTACTTGAATTAATAACATTATTCTTTCTTTGATATAAAACTGTAAAATGTAAAATAACTTTGTCCTTTTGAAGGATAGAAGCTAAGTATAAACATAGAGTTAAGAAACTCCCCAAAGCATGCACAGATCAAAGCATAGAAGAAAAAAATACCAAAACAAAAAACTAACAAACCACATATGAAAGCAATGATAACAATAATTCTTATATTAGTGTTAGACACCAGCCAAGGCAAAAGATCTACATCTCGGCAAGTTTCCTCAGACGCTGGCGGTTTTCCATCGAGATTAATTTTTGGTTTCTCGAGAGATAACCCATGAAAACCATGAAAGATTGGGCAACGGTTATGAAAAAGAAACTTGCAGAGGAGCTGTGGAAATTGTCGACCTCTGTGAGTGTGAGCGCGAGCAAATTTGCAGACGAATTGCGGTTGAGAAATCAGAGAGAACCAGCGTTTGCAGACGGTGCTACACTGAATTGTGGATCCCAAATCAGGGAGACGAATAAGTATCTCAACCAGCAGATCATCGGGGATGACTGCCATAAATGTAGATGCTGTAGTATTGTTTGACATCCGTGGTATTTCATCAATTTTCCTTTTTCCCTATTTTTCTTACCTTGTTGCTCCTCCATTTTGACGAATATGTCAGACGCCTCTCTCTGAATCTCTTTTTCTCCCTAAGCCTAGAAATCCACCGCTCCTTTTTAAATTTTTTTTTTTTTTTTCCTTTTCTTCAGGGGAGCCACTCTTTACTTTCGTGTAGTCCAGGAATCTTAGACGGGCTCGCCTGTGAACGCTTCAAAAATTTGATTTTGAGTCCGACGTCTGAATTCGTTTGTTTGAATGGTAGAAAATAGGTCAATATGAAAATCTTAAGAAAGTATATATGTTAATTTTTAGTTATAGAAATTAATAGGCCATAACTTGTCAAGTTATGGTTCATAATCAGATAAGTTATGGACAAACTTATTAAGTTATGATTCATAGCCAGACAAGTTATGAACAAAAACCGTAAATAACTTGTCAAGTTATGGTTCATAACCAGACAAATTATGGACGAAAACAGTAATTTAGTTTATTTATTAACTTATGTAAACTATTGGCCTATTAATTTTAATTCATCTCAAGTCCTGGCCTATTTCCCTCTATCTCCCAAGCCGTCCGCCCGAGTCTGAGAAGGCCCATGGACGGGCCGCAGGCCTGGTTTTGGTTGCTCGAGCTCGTCCGAGTGGCCCGAAAAAAAAAAGTATTTTATTATATTTTTAAAATTTTTACAATATTGTATATATTATATATAATATACAAAAATTGAGAGAAAATGAGAGAGATTAAAAGAGTTTGGGTGAGAAAAATGTGTGGGGGATGGGGGCATTTATAGGAAAATTTTTGTGTTAAAAAATTGATTTTTTCCTCAAAATTTGGATCCAACGGCTACTTTCAATTTTTGGCGGGGTCGGGTTTGGGCCGCAATTCTAGCAACCGTCAAAAAAAGAGCCGTTAGAGTCGAGCTTCGGGTTCGGGCAATTTGGTTAGGAGGGAAAAAATTAAAAAAAAATCCGACGGTCGGCGGTTGAAGGCATTCTTTCGGCAGCGAGCTTCGGCGATGTCATCCAATTTCGGGCAGCCCGAGCCCGAAAACTTGCTTAGACGGGCGGCCTTATGGGCTTGCCCGCCGAGCCTGAAAAATTCAAGCTTCGGGCAAGCCCGCCAGCTGAAAGTTCCAGCACTACTTTCATGACTTTATATATCCTAACCTCCAAAGCCTACATAATATTTTGGGTTTACTTTTACAGTTGTTCCCTAAATTTATAAGGGTTTGGCAGTTAAATAGGGTATTTAAAAAATCTGACAAACTGTGAAAACCGCTTAATTCAAACCAAATCGAACTAAATTATTAATTATTTTTAGATTATTATGCGGTTTAATCAATTTTTTAATCTAATTTTTGGAGCGGTTTAGTTTGTGGTTTAGACACCCCAAACTGCCCAAACCGCTCAATAATCCACACAAAAATATACGTATATAATTTTTTAATTTTTAAAACATTTTTTATATTTATTTAAATTTTTATTGGTCATAATAAAAGTTTTACACTTATAAAATACACCCTATCATATTTTTGTTGGTTTGTATTAAAACTTTAAATGGTCAATTGTTATACATTTGTTATTTTTGAGTTAAATTGTAAACTTGAATTTTATTTTTATTTTTATTGATTAACGATTTTATAATTTTTATAAATTATTAAAAAAATTTTTAATATTAAGCTTAAACCAACCAAACCAAACTGCCCAAACCTCTTATGATTGATTTGGTTCAATTTGGATTTTATGAAAAATATCAAATCGCTTAAACCGTCTAAAAGAAAAAAATATGTTTGATAAGTGGACGTTTAATTCATAGATTCAAAATCATGATTCAGAACCACTTTTAGTTTACGTGTGTTTTTTGTGAGCGAAAACACTGTAACAAATCACGAACCATGATTCGAATTATGACACGAATCCACCAATCAAACACATAATAAATGCATGAAAATATGAAGATTACCCTTCCCAATTTATTTTAAATGCTATTTAAAATGTTATTTCAATCAAGTAAATATCTCAACTAATTTGAGGGTTCTTAAATTTTTAATTAATTTGTATTTAATATTTTTTTAATAATATTTTAAATTATATTTAATAAAAGTTGGGAAGGATAATCTTGATATTTTATAAAAAAAAATTAGTTGCTTCACAGAATATTTTAAATTTGATTTTATAAAAGTGTCATTTTGACAAAAATAATTTAAATCTTAGATAAATTTGTTGCAAAGGGAGGAGAGATACATATTTTAGATTTTTTAATCTTTTATTATACTTAAATCATTTTTGAAAATTCTAAAAAAAAAATCATTGGAAATATATTTTAAAAATTTAGGGCTTGTTCGATTATATTTTTGAGTTATGGTGACTGGAGTGTAGATTTTGAGTTGAATTTGAGTTAAAGTTGTAACTTAGGTTTGTATTTGGATGTGCACATTTGAGTTATGATTTGAATTGAGAATATATTTGAGTTTGTGTTTGAGTGTGTCAAAATTTAAATTTATATTTAGATAATATTTTAATAAAAACTCAATGGTGATGAAAAATTTTAATAGGATATATGGGTGGGGTTTTATTCCTCTCTTCGTTGTGGACGCATAGAAAATAATCATCTCAATCGGAATTAAAACAAAAAAGTTATGACGTTTTTAAGAATATAAAAAATATTATTCATTAACTTAAGTTTGAGTTTAAGAACTTGAGTTGAAGGGAAAATTTAAACTTAGATTTTAGTCTCAAACTTAAGTTAAAACTCAAGTTTAAACTCAAAGTTTACAAATAAATATGAACTTAAATAAAGTTGTAACTTGAGTTCAATTTTTTTTTTTGAGTTCTACTTCAAAAAAATAAGTCCTTAATTTCTATCTAATTAATGCCAATGACAAAAATGATATTTTATATTTCAAAAAATATTTTAAGATATTAAAAAACAATCTTTTAAGATTAAAATATCAATTTAAAATATTGAAAATATTAAATACTGAAAGATGATTTTGCAAAAACACATGGCACTAGAATAAAAATTTTCCTATATAATTTGATGAATTTAAAATGTAGAAAATTAAACAATGGATAAGTTTTTTAAAAAAGCGTATTTATTTGACCTATTTCATTTTTAATAACTTTTATTATTTCCAAAGTTTTCTTCTTTTTTTTCTTTTCCTTTCTTTGCTTTCTTTTATTCTTATTATTAATTATTAATTATTATTATTTTTCCCCTTTTGAGAGGGTTTAGAAGAAAAGGCGAGAGAGGAGGAGAGGAAGAAGAAGAAGGAAAAAAAAAGAGGGTACTTTCTCGGGAAGTGAGAGGTAAGAAGAAAGAGTGGAAAGATGAAGAGGACGAAGAAGAAGAATGAGAAGAAGCAAAAGATGGTGAATAAAGAGGTTGAAACAGAGGACTGGTGCTTCCTCTGCAAAGATGGTGGCCAACTTATGTTCTGCGATTATGGGTCTTCTTTCTCTCTCCCTCTCTTCCTTCATATTGCATTTTCATGGCCGATTCTGCTTTTGCCTTTTTGTTGCTTGGGAAACAAGAAAGATCATTCTTTTTTTTTTTGTAATCTTTGTCTGTCCTGCATTCTTTGAAGAAGATGAAGAAATGAACAGGGTGTTGTTTCATTTTCTTATTTGGTGTCGGAACACGCAATGCAAAGCTTTAATTTTTTTTCCCTTTTTTTTTATTTTCAAGTTTTGGTCTTGAAAAGAAGAAACAAAAAAATCAAAAGCAAAACCCACTGGCTAGTGGCGACTAATGCATTCTCCGAAGTGTTTGTCTTGTCCCCTCTGAAATTGTTTTTTTTTTTTTTAAATAATCTGTCTCTTTTGTTTTATTTTCTATAGAAAAAATATAAGGTGGAAATTATCAGAATTTGCCACTTCTTCTTCTGTAATTTTTAAGGGAAGAAGGTTATAATTTGTCAGTAATAAAGTTCATGGTAAGGTAAAACCAGATTGATACCCATAAATAAATTATGAAAAAAACCCAGAATTATACACGTGATACAATTATTTTTATTGTACATATGATGCATTTTTTTTGTTCCATTATTATATCCCAGTGCATGTGACGCCATCTCTATAAAAGTTGGAGTATTTCACTGATACGTAAGTTTTGATTTTAGGAATTGCTTAAAGGTCTATCATCCTGATTGTGTGGGAAAAGATGAATCTTTTTCAGAAACTGGAGAGTTCTGGACTTGTGGTAAGTGATGTAAATTATCCCATAATATTTGTAATGCCTTTTACAATTCCTGACTAATTTATAGCATATTGCTCAAGTTTTAGATGTTATGCTTATATGCAACATGAAATTTCGCATGTTGGTCTAGTGAATAATTAATCGTTTGTTTGCCTAATTTTCACATGATTTAATTACATTGAGCAGATTTTGGTAATTACTATAGTTTTGTTCCAGAGGACTGAATTGGATTTCCAGTAGTTAATTCTTGAATTTTTTAATAACCCTCTATCATAGTGAACTAAGATGAACACATATTCATAATAGAATATTATTGCTTCTGATGACTATCAGCATGAGGAATGATCAACTGCTTTTCAATCTCAGATCGGCATTCTTGCACAAAGTGCCATAAAGACCCGAAATTTCATTGCCTTTGCTGTCCAATTTCTGTTTGTGAAACGTGCGTCAGCTCTTCTGGGTTTGTACAGATTAGGAGTGATAATGGTCTCTGCCACGAGTGTTTGGAGCTTGTTATACTTGGAGAAGAAAATGAGGCCTTTGACATCAATGGGGTATGCAAAATCATGCTACAAGTTTTGTAATATATGTACTGTTAGTTTGTTACTCGTTGTTAATCATATTTGATACTTGGATTAAATGTTTAGAAATTGTATTCATCTTGCATGGAGCTGGATCGACAAAGAGATATAAGGTGGTTCACACTGCTGGGAAGGGAACCATCTCTGTGGGGACCCACTGTATCTCTTGTGGAGCGCCAAAGATTGTTTTGTAAATGTTAAATGAACTATCAAGAATTTTGGTCTCAAATTTAGAACTGATTGAGATATATTTTGTCCATCTGCTCACGGTTTTATTACCAAGTAGTAATTATCATCGGAATTGTTGAAGTTTGTTTTGAATATAGAGCCTGAATGATTCTTAAATCAAATAAGATGATCTCTGCCTCAGATTCTAGGTGTGTGTGTGTCTGTGTGTCGTGTGTGTTTCCTTGGCTAAAGTATCATAGCTTTTTTCTTTTTCTTTTTTTAGGTTGAAAAGGGAGCATATTTATGTTGCTACATTTGTTTCTTTAGCTCTACAGTTTTTTATTTTCAGGAAAAGATAGATTTTGAAGACAGGGATTCGTTTGAGGGCCTATTCAAAGAATACTGGGAAATAGTGAAGGAGAAAGAAGGCTTTACCATGGATGATGTCTACGCCGCAAATACCCAATTAAAGAAGAAGAAAAATAAAAAACGCAAATCCCTTTCATTTAAAATTGGAAAGGAACATCAAGAAGATGAGTTCATCATTCTTGACTCTGATAAGGAAGAAACAGAACCATGTAAGCCATTAGGCAAGAAGAAGAGATCCATGAAACAAGGGTTCATCGGATGGGGGTCGAAACCCCTTATTGAGTTCCTCAAGTCCATTGGTAAGGACACAACTGAACGATTACCCCATTATGAAGTGGATTCTGTCATCAAAGGCTACATTCGAGAAAAAAACCTCGTTGACCAAGAGAGGAAATACAAGGTTAATTGTGACGAGAAGCTATATTCTGTTTTCAGAAAGAGGTCGCTAACAAAGAGCAGAATATTTCATCTTTTGGAGGCCCATTTAGTTGAGAGCATGGAGGAATCAGAGGAAGATGTAGATGACGGTGACGGTGATCAAGTACGTTGTCCAAAGAAAGATGAAAATGATAATGCAGCGTGTAACAAGCGGAGAACTTTGAGCTCAGATATGGAAAATCAGGAAAACGAAGTCGAAACTATTATCAAGCAAAACTCTTTTGCGTCTATAGTCGCTGAAAATATCAAACTCGTCTATCTAAGGAGGAGCTTGGTGGAGGAGTTATGTAAGCAGCCTGAAAGTTTTGAAGGCAAAGTAGTTGGAAGTTTCCTTAGAATCAAAACGGATCCCAAAGATTTTCTACAAAGGAATTCTCACCAGCTTTTGCCAGTAACAGGTGATTTCTTCCAAGCAATCTGACCTGGGGGTTTGTTAATAATTGCTGGATTGGTTTGATCTGCAATGTCTATTCCAAGTAGTACTTGTACATGTTTTTCTCATTGCTAGTTATATACGGGTCGGTCCATATCTTAAATTGATTTTGGATTTGCAAACTTATCTTTCTTTGTTTTTGTTGTTTGCTTTGATCCTTCTCAGGTGTAGATAAATCTTCAGCTGGTGAAATACTCCTGAGAGTTTCTTTGATGCCCCAAGGCCTGTACATACACATGCTTTCCGATTCCGACTTCACCAAGGTAGAAAAAGGAATGCTAAATTTCTAATATCCCCTTGATATTTTCTTCTTGTACCCACAAACACATAGTTGCAGAATATGTTGGAAAGGGAAGAGTAGCATGATGAGCATATATATATATATATATATATATATAACTGCATCTTTTAACTAGATGAGCTGCTTTATTGGCAGGAAGAATGTGAGGATTTGCAGGAAAAAATTGAAAGTGGTGTGCTAAACAAAATTCCTGTTGTAAGTTCCATTATACACGAGTTGTGTTGCACTTTATAAAGCAGAAACTGTCTAAGTACTTGATCATGGATTTGCAATTAGTGACCTATTTGAAAATATTCTATATTTTTGTCTGATAATTAATTGCCTGCGAATATTTTTCTGGTTTTCATTATGAGCTTTCTCTATGTGCTAAACTTATTTTGCAAAGAATACACTTGAAACATTTGCTTATTATTTTAATTTGCTGTTTTTCTTCTCTCTTTCTTACTCAAATAGCACTAGTATGGTTTTGCAAAAATGAACAAAGAGAAACAGGTTCCTTCAAAACTAAAGCAATTTGCTAATTTTTGGCAGGTTGAGCTTGAGAAGAGAGCTAGAACCGTGCATGAAGATATTACTAAGCATGTGCGTTTTTCTAATCCCAATACTACTTTTAGAAGACTCCTAAGATGAAATAATCCGAATTACATCTATAAATGCAAGCCCCTCAGAAGTCAGAACTGCTAAAACGTTTTTGAGTTTTTGTATAACATATTGTTTCTATACCTCTCTAAAGCATGTATGTATCTTTTGTTTTTTCCCCCTATGAAAAGAATCTTTATGTGCTTCTTCTTGTCTTGCTTAATCCCCATTTGGCATTATAATGCGCTGTAAATTACTTTGCAGTGGATCGAGAGAGAGCTGGTCCTCCTACAGAATCGTATTGATTGTGCGAATGAGAAGGGACGGAGAAGAGAATATCCTTTTACAATTCTTGCAATATGGATTCAGAATTTAAAACTAGTAATTAACATATGCCAAGTTATCACTTTAGTGAAAAGAACTCTTGAATTGGCCAGCTAAAAAGACCCTTTTCTTTTTCCACAAAAACTTCTACATAGCAAAAATTGACAATATTTGTTGCAATATTTGATAGATGTTATCTCCTTCAAAATTTTTGAAGTTTTTCACAGTATTTATTCCTTGTGTATTTTTGAGGTGCATAATTTGTTCTTCACGTGTAAATGTGGACCTTAACCTCTTTGTGTTGTGAACATTGTTCCATTATGTATACCAAAGAGAACTGCTGAAGAAACCATCCGAACAGGAAAGATTGCTGAAACGGGTGCCCAATATCATTCCTGAAGTTATAGAACTCAAAGCTGGCTCTGCAGTCTTGGAAATTGATTAGTCAAGAGTCCAAAATCGGTTTTTTTTTTTTTTTTTTTTGGCACGAACAATTCCCGTTTTTGAGATTGTATATATGTAAGGGAAGTATCTTACTTTTATTTTGTTATTACCTCTTTTCTTCCCAGAATTTAATGTCAGTTCTTTCGTTGCAAGTTGTTTCTGTAACCAAGCAAAGGGAGAAAATTTGCAACATAAAAAGTAAACTTAGAAAAAGGAAAAAAAAAAAAAAATCTAATAATGCAATGTAAGTGCATATTGAGGGATTCAAACTGGTCGCCTTATGGTGGATTGAGGGATTAAAACTTATCATCTTATAGTGGAGTCATGTGTGGAATTATCATTATCGTTAGACTATGTTTGTAGCCACATATTTTTTTTTTATTCACAAAAACTTTAAAGATATCTTAGTGCAACTCAATTAGTTTTTCTAATCTATTATTTTCCCCTTAAGTTTCCCATTGTAGATTCACATCTTATAATATATCTTATTATTAAGAATATAATTAAAAACAAATTCTAATTCCTGTGAAGTACAAACACCATGAACAATATGATGGTATAAAAGTAAAGAGAAAAAACATAGAACAAGTTAAGAATAAATATTCAATGATTGATCCATTATCTGTATTCTTTTTCTTTTTTTTTTTTTTTTCTCTTTCTAAACCCTTCAAAAAATATTTTGGCAGAAAGTATGTTTAAGGCTAAAGTTGAAAATAAATTGTTTAGTTGTAAAAAAGAAAACGCCAAATACATATTTTTGTAGTTATTTTTTTTATTATTTACTTATTGAAACGTTATTGGAAATATGATTAAAAAATGCTCGAAAAAGGAAACGAGTTGGAAGAGCGTTTGGGAAAATAAACAGTCAATTAAAAATTAACATAAAAAATCATTGAAAAAAAAAATATTTTAAATTATACCGCCAAATTTTTCATTTTTATCAATTATTAAAAAGTTCAGACCTTTATCTTAGCAAAAAGAAATATAGACCTAGCCCTTTAATTCTTCCTCTTTTTCATCTTGCTCTCTCCCTTTCTACTTGTTGGAGCTAGGAGAAATATAGTAGAGAATAGTGATCTTAAAATTTTAAGGTAACGTTTTCTCATGCAGATCTTAAATTCGACATTTCCCCTTGAGGTAAAAACCTAATTAACATGACTAATTTCAAATATTATGAGACTTTTATGGATAATAAGAGGCCTTAGCCAATTGCCTCGCTGAATTTACCCTTAATCGGGCAATGTTGGATTCATACTAGAATTGACTAAGCTCCAGCTCAAAATAAGAGCCTAACTTACAAGACCTGAAAATATTGGCCCAAATGAAAATTGGCCCAATGTATTTGTATATGAGAAAATTGTTGAACTTTTAGGTGTATGTGTCTAAATTTTTATCTTCTATTTTGATTAATACTCTTTTAATTAATCAATAGTAGAGATATCGTGCATTGATCTAAAAGGTAAATGTCTTCTTCCCTCTTTGTATATCTATATATCTATACACTCCTTTATAGAGAATGAGTTTCATGGGGCACTAACAAAACGGCTTCGTTAGTGCCTCTTGTTCTTTTAATATTTCCCACCCACTTTTTTTTTTTCAACTTTCTTCCCTTTTTCTTTTTATTCTTTTTTTTTTCCTCCCCTTTTTCCATTTTTATCTTTTTTGTTCCACTATACATTTTTTTCTTTCCTTAAATTGACCCTCATAAAATTTTTTTCCTCTATAATAATTTATTCTAGTACATTTTCCTATTTGATTTTTAAAATCATGTTCTCCTAATAAAGCGTTTCGTAATTGGTCTTTTCTTTTTTCACTTTCCTTCCTTTTTTTTCCTCCTTTTTTTTTTTCCTTGTTTTGTCTCCCCTTTTTTTCATTTTTATATATTTGTCACATTATACATCTTTTTTTTTATCTCCAGAAATGAGACCCTATAAATATATTTTCTTAATATGCGTGGCCCCTCTAACTGCGTAACGACCATCCGCTGCTTGTTCTTATGGGCACCAAATCCCATTTTCTTAGATCCCACAAGAAAAGTGTTTCTGCTACTTTAATCACGTGACCTGTGTAACTTGATATAAATCATACATAAAAGTATATTTAGTATAATGGCAGACGGATAGATATATGCATTTATGTATAGTATCACGTGACCTTTGTAATATATCCATGTAATATACAAATTTTTTAAAAAAACCACGCATAATATAATTTGTAATAAGATCGCCTACCAAAATTATGTGTAGTAACCATGCAAAAATATTAGTCTTCTCTTGTGTGACTCGTAGACGAGTTTCATTCATTTAGCAATTGTTTCACAATCTCTACATACACTAACAAATAATTTGAAGATTTTGTTAAAGTAATATAAAGTCAACCTAAGTAATAAATTTAGATTTTATTTAACCCAGTTAGTTTATAGATTTGAACAGAAAAATTTAAATTTTATAAAAAAAAAACGCCGTACGGCTTCAACTAATAAAACAAACGCATGGTATATGGAAATATAGCCCTACTTATTTCTTTAAGGAATATTCCAATAAATCCGTCGTTACGCATGCAAAAATCTGCGTATGTTTATCCTTTGCGACAAAATCTCTGTCAGGGAATCCGTCAGATGCATGCTGCCACAATATACCTGCAATATGATTACGTAACCTTTGAGGCTTTGACTGTCATATATCTTCTCAAGCCAAAGTAAGAGGAAAAAAAAAAAAAACTAACACGTTATGTATACGCAAACTTTAAACATGGAATATGTATATGTGTGTGTGTGTGTGTATATATATATATATATATATATATAGACACTACTAGTAATTAAATTTTAAAGCTGAAAATTATAAGCTTTGGTGCTGAAGATACAGAGACTACGTACAAATGTTGGAAACTGATCTCTCCTTTCTTTTTGTGTGGATGTTGACGACAGCATAGTTGTTATTATATACATGGACTTGTCAAGTCTTGTTTGGTAATTGGTAATATTTTTTCGAAAGGCTGCATGTCCCTCTATGTATATATTATCGTTGCTTGTTTGAAACAAATTGTTATGGGATTTTTCCTCTGTAAATTAATGATCACTAATCAACAATAAATAGTAGGGATCTACGGTACAAATCACTGTTAGTTTACTATGAATAAGTACCGGTGTTTTAGTCGGATTTATTCTTTTAAGGTCTCATCTATGGATACCATGCAATAGTTTCGTATGGTGCATTATAAATTTTTAACATAATCATTCGTAGTAATTTAGTGTACCAAAAGATTAAAAAGAATAATATTTACGTTGAGTTTATTATTACAACTTCTTTTTGGGATACTTTTTTTTTTTTTTTAAAGCGTTGGATCCCCAGTTAACCCACAATTAATGAAAAGGCATTAATGCAAAGGATATACTTTAAAGTGACCGATGCGGAATATAATTAATGGAGAATCGTTTGTTTACCTTTTAACGATCCCGATATTATTGCATCAAAAAATGTAACTTTTGTAAGCAAAAGGATATATATTAGCTCCGGTAAACAGTCCTTAGAAGAACTTGAAAAGGGAATCTCTTCTTTTACATAAAACCCTTTTACATGTCTCCTCTTTTACATAAAACCCTCATGTTTCTTGTTGTGTGTGTGTATAAATTTTGAGAACAACGCACAATGTCCAAATTCAAGGGGCATTTTATTTTTTCAAAAAAAAAATAAATAAATAAAGAAAGAAAGACATTTGTCTTTCTATTTACCCACACCTTTTGATGACATCAAAAATCCTTTGGGATTTGATTCCCTGGCCTTGTTTTTCAAAAAGGGGATATGATCAGCTAGCTAGCTTCTTCTAAAGCTGAATGGGATACTCAACAAAAAAATAAAAAAATAAAAAAATAAAAAATAAAAAAAATCACCTACAAATTAAAATTCTTATATGTGCTTTCTATTTTCAATCTAGACGTAACACTTTGCCTGCATAGCCTTACCCTTGCCCCACTCTCACCTACCATGATTACGTCACTAATTCACTAATCAGCTAGCTATATATATTGCTCCTTCTCTTTTTTGTTACACATTATTTTTCCACAAGTTATATATATTCTAACACCATTATGATTAATTTGGGAGAAGAATCATGACTGCTTACTTACTGGTCCTCGGTCGACAACACAAAGTCAAGTCCCTAGCCAACAACCATTTTTTGCCTGGAGAGCATACACATGATGACAATATATAGACTCATGTAATATTTCTATATTTCTATATATATATATATATATATATCTCGAATTTTTAAGCAAGTTGGTATCTATATATTTATAGTTTGTCGGCGAATCCCTTAACGCGCTTTGGCTTCATCTTGGTGAATTATGGGTTGTGATGTAACAGGGTCTTAATTCTCTTTCTACCTCCTTAGCTTGAAAAAAAGATGGGTAATCATCATTTGGAAGAAGACACTTTACTTAAACAACTAACTCCTCTAGCTAATTAATTTCAGTGTAAAAAAAGGTTGGTGTCTCTTTCCATTTCCTATAGTCACCATCATTTTGGAACAATAGTACTAGTGGAACCTATATTACATGGTTTTAAATTTTAACGGTTACTTTAAAATTTATATATTGATGAGTATTATTATTTTAACATATGATATTGATCAGACGGTTATAATAAATTGAGCAGTTTATAAAAAAAAAAAAGGGCAATTGCCGATCAAAATGTAATTATTAAAACCTCGTCTATGTGCATTTTCTATGTCATGAGCGTCTGATCATAATAAATATGCATGTACATATAGCATCTTGTTCAAAAGGGTCATTGCCACAATCTTCCAAAGTTTTCAGGAAGAAATTTTATATAAAATTTTCATGAATCAAAGGGATGGTTGGAGTGCGTATGGATGGATAAAATGTCATTCACAAATAGGTCTATAGGACCCTATATGGGTTCACCTTTTTTTTTTTTTTTTTTCTTTCTTTCCAAAAAATAGCACATGAGAACAATAGGCTAAATTAACGTGCGAGTTGGGATGATGCGATCTAATCATCTATAGAGAGAAGATAAACGTAGTAAAGGAGGGAGACAATATAGATGAAAAGTTACGATATTACTTCCTATAATTCATTCTTAGTTTTCATCTGTC